ACATGAGTAATCTTATGTCGTTAGTGCTGAGTTTATGTGAGTTGATATAGTGTCGTGTTGATATCATGAAATGAATTGTCCACTTCTACAAAGCTACACAAGCCAAACTGATCTTGTTGACTACCATGATTTCCTATGATAACAGCCGGCTGTTCATTTCCTAGTTAAGAAACGATTTGTGCAGTTTTGAAATTTTATTTTTGCACACATTTAATTTCTTGTTTGAGGCGTAGTCTCAATGGAAGTAATGACATCTACGAAGAGCCGCCTAGTGGCGCGCTCTTTTTAACGCTCGCCGCTTCTCCCGTTTGTTCTCGCCACGCAGCGCTGCGCACATATCGGGTCGGTTAGGCACCTTGCCACGCGAGGGAACTACACGAAGCACACTTCCCCCCGCCGTCATTCCGCGACACCTTCAACGACAGACGACCTCATTCGCAGCGCGTCAGTCAGCTGCGGGCAGGCACCTATCGAACATTTGTGAACGGCGCGATTCCTGTTCGTCAGCAGGACAAGGACCTTTACGAACCTCGCCGGGTTCTGCCGCAAGGAGGGCCTGTTTCCAGCGCTCGCAATCGTTCGCGCGGGGCAACGTCGACTTCCCGTGGTACGGACGCGATGTGTAGAACGCGGACGACGACGGCGGTGCCGACGACGACGACGCGATCCAACGCGATGTCGGCACGACGACCGTCCCCACGACGCACCGTCCCATGGACGACCGTCCCCACGACGACGTCCCCATGGCGACGATCTGCGCATTGGCGACAGCGGCCACGGCCGACGGTCCCCATGACGATTGGACCCTACTCCGCAGCGACGCAGCGCTTTGAGAAGAACGTGACGCCGCCGCGCAACGGCGAGATCGCCACGGCAACGCCGCCCGCCGACGCCGACGGACGACGACGGCCGTTGTCGACGCGCTTCTCGCTCGCTCGGCAGCGTTGCCCGCCGCATGCTTGGCGTCGCATCAGTCGACGAACACTTTGTGGCTTCGTGTGGCCCGTCTACCAGACGCACCTCGGCTCGGACTCGATCACGCGTGGCCGTAAGGCGCGTCGCGACGGCTGTCATCCATGCTTCGCCGTGATTAGGTCGACTGCTGGAGCCGACGCGTGACGGCGCAAGGCCATGCTTAGACGGCGTTCCGCGAGAATGGAGGGTCGGCCGGCACGCGCTGCCGAACCCCACATAGAGGCTGATTCCCGTGCGAGCGTTTCGTTTTTTTTTCTTCGAGCCGGACATGCGCGACGAGCGGCGGCGGCGGCGGCATCATGACGCATCGATGCGAGCAGATCGCGTGCGCCCGATCCAGCGGCCAGGGTGCTGCCCGGCGTCGCACAGCGTCATCGCCGTCAGCGCTCCAAGCTCCATCTAGCGCGACGCCGGGAGCGGGTCGTCGTTTAGCGCTCGTTTGTCGCGCAGCTGTAAGCATCCAATCTGGTGGGCGGTGGACGGCTGTCTGCGTGTTGTGAGAGTCGTGTAGCGCCATGCTACATGTGATGCTTCGGCGACTCCAGCGCCATCTAGGTGTGATGGTCGCGACCTGCGAGGCGCCATCTAGCGTGTGATGTTCGGCCGACTCCCAGCGCCATTCTAGGAGTTGTGTGATGGTCAGCGACTCCAGCGCCATCTATGTGTGATGGTCGGCGACTGCAGCGCCATCTATGTGTGATGGTCAGCGACTCCAGGGCCATTTATGTGTGATGGTCGGCGACTGCAGCGCCATCTAGGAGTGGGGCGCGGCGGCGCTAACTTTTGTTCAGCGGATGTAAAATCTTTGTTTTAATTGCTGAATCATTGTCAAGCCCACAGCTGAGTAGTTATCTAATGCACATTATTTTTTGTTCACACAGTGTTTTGTACGCATGTTAATATACGTATATATGCAACTAGAACAGCATCACTTCCTGGTGAGGTGTGTGCGCTGAAATGGTAGTGGTAGCCATGGCGACAATATCAAGCGACAAATCATAATGGGGTCAGGTTTTGCTGGTTCTTGCACCTGAAAGATTATGGTATACTTATTCGGAGGCATTCTTGTAGGAAACACTGCTTTTTGGAACTCATTTTACGAACAATTAATGCGTCCATATTATCTAGAGAGTAGCTATCTTCCATGTAATCTTCTTTTTCTTCTTCGTCTTTTTTCCTTCTACTACTACTTCTTCCCTCTCTATTTCTCTTACTTCTTTTTCTTCTTTTCATCGTCCTCTTCCCCTTCCTCTTCTCCCTTCTCCTTCGCCCCATCTTTTTTGAAGGTGCTAATGCCTGCATATTACGTTAGCAGCACTAGTGCAGTAGCAATGTGTTTCAAATTATATGTGCACACCATGAGAGGAGTTGATTTTACACAGCTTTGCCAATCTGTAGCCCTCGTATCAACATTGTGCAAGTAGGCTTTTTCTACACCACATTATTTTCTGGTGTCTTCTTGGTTTAGTGAGCTTTGTGTGTGCACGTTTTATACATCTCAACTTGTATAGCTGCTAAGTGTAAACTTGAGAGAAAACATACACGCATACATGCCTGCATGCATGCTTGCTTGCGTGCTTCCACGCACACGCACGCACACACACACACATATGTACATGTACACCCAAAGCCAAAGTATGCATACATTATTCATGGGAGTTATTGGGATGTTAACTCTGATTCTGCTCTTGCTGATGCATGAGATTTGATGTGCAGCATATAGCTGACTTGCTCAACCATACTGATTCTAATACTTTCCTGCACCCGCGTTTGGCGCCATTTTATGTTTTTTTACAGTTGCCAGCTGACATAGCGTTCGCGCTCGCCTGCAATCACACTCACCGGCGGGTGTCCCGAGAATTTTGTTAGTAAAATGCAAATTCCAAGTGGTCAGTATTACATTAACAGCTTTGGCAGGGAAGAAATCTGTGTGTGGCCTTACTCGTGTGAATATGCAGTGCTAGCTAGATTAGGTTCGTCTATTGATCTAGACTTTCTTCTCACCCTAACTAGCTGTATCGATTAGCAGTTTGCAATACACGCTAATTAATAACTGTCTATGATATGTCTGACTGTCTATGTCAGTTTATTCAGCAGGCGGTAGATAAGTGGGTATGCTATTGTCTGTATGCACTCTCGTGTCATGTGTCCTTTCTCTATACCCGGCTGTACACATGCTAGGGTACAAACAATGTGCACAGCCTATGCACGGACGTATTCGCGTAGCTGTCAACCTGCCCATAATAATAAACTTAATTAATTAATAAATTAATAAATAAAATTAATAACTTAAGAGATGAATACTGTAGGCCTGGTGCATGTAGAAGCAGACTGGTCGAAGCAGTGGACTGCTAGTTTTTAAAAGCTGGCTGGACTCTAGCTCCAAGAAACGGTCTTGCTAGGGTTAGAAGACAAATAGGCTACCTAATTAGCCTAATTAACCTATTAGACATTGTAGACAATCGGTCGCACAGCCTGGTCGGGCTATAGGTGGACTCTTTAGAGCACGAAGTGCTAACATGAACACACATGCTAGTAGCATGTATATATGTGCAGAGTGTGTGTGTGTGTGTGCGTGCGTGTGTGTGTGCGTGCGTGAGTGCGTGCGTGTGTGTGTGTGTGTGTGTTGATGGTACTTTTCAACCACTCTGTTTAGAGGTGCAGCAGACGTTAACAGTAGGCTATCTTGGTAGAAGTCGGTTGGCATGGTGATCTTGTAGTAACAGCCATGGCTGCCTTTACGTCTGTCACGTATGGGGAAATACGAGTGTACGAAGCTTGATGAATGTAGTCTATTGCGAACTGTGCAAACCTACAAATCATTGCAAAGCTGTGCAGAATTTTGACGCATGTGACATGTAATTTTACAACAAGAATTTTACACACAAAATTCTAGCGTGTACTGAAGTTCCTATCACGAAAATTCGATGCGCAACACTTTGTTTCGTGTAAGTGAAACAAAAAACCCAGAGACCTGTTGCCAGAAGCATCATGAAGTGTTATGTCATAACTACCGACGATGGTTTTGCAAAGAGCAATCACGCCAACCCCACAGCCACAAGTCTCCCAAGCAGTTGCAACACTGCGTTCATGATGCATAATTGAAGTGCATGTTCGCACCATTAACTCGCGTGTTTTTCGACCCGCTGTGTTAATTATACATTGCGCAAGACCAGCCTCATTACGAGTTTGGCCATCGGTCAATCAATGATGACACGACGACACAGGAGACTGCTGTGTTTCGTGTGCGAGCGTCGTTGCTCAAGGCGTCTGCCACGCATTTTTGAGATTCGAACGGGCATTCTCAAGTTGTCGGTTTATATTAGTGTGTACTTGGAATCAGTGTCTTTGATGATCTTGTTGCAATGCAGCCGAGACACCAGGGGGCACGCGTGCGACTACAACAACACATCCAACAAGAGGCTGCCCCCATCTGCACGTTCCATGCCTCGGGTTCCATGCCCCGGGTTTCGTACCTTGGGTTCCATGCTTCGGGTTCCGTGCCCCGGGTTTCATGCCCTGGGTTCCGTGCCTCGGGTTCCATGCCCCGGGTTTCGTACCTTGGGTTCCATGCTTCGGGTTCCGTGCCCCGGGTTTCATGCCCTGGGTTCCGTGCCTCGGGTTCCATGCCCCGGGTTTCGTACCTTGGGTTCCATGCTTCGGGTTCCGTGCCCCGGGTTTCATGCCCTGGGTTCCGTGCCTCGGGTTCCATGCCCCGGGTTTCGTACCTTGGGTTCCATGCTTCGGGTTCCATGCCCGAATTCCATTACCTTCGGGTTCCGTGCCCGCGATTCCAGGGTTTTTCGGGCTGAAACTACGTAGAAACTACATCATTACGTGTCACGTAGATGCGATTGGCAGAACTCTCTCTTTCCATGACGTATAGTCGTGCAGTCTCTGATGGATGTATTGTTGATTTGACGTGCGCTGTTGCATTCCTGTCCTTATCGAAGCTGTATATAATGACAGGCACTAGCGGGGTGTGTATGGTGACGTCCACCGTCCCGTGCTGCGCAGTGCGCCACAATTTAACAACGCCCGTTCCAACAGAAGCGGTTGCCAATATTACAATGTCGCGCAGTGGCTGCAAATATGTCCGACTATGACCTTGACGTGAAAAGATACGCATTGTATGTTTTGTGTGTATTTGTACGTGCGTGCGTGCGCTTGTGTGCGTGCGTGCGTGCGTGATCACGGTCAATCTCACCACTCGAGTTGGAAGTCTATGCCTTGACGATGATCGAGTGACGATAACTTTGATCAGACCCTAATAGTCACGTGATATCGGTCGGAAATCGATATATCACGTGTGCACCGTGGCGCCCCCGTGTGGCGACTCGACGAGCAGCCATGCACGACCTCCTACACCCTCCACCTACGTGCTTGATGTTGAAATCTAACTGTCTTCTTGCGTCCGTGTAGTTTGTTAATTATAATTAACGTTCCGCGTGCTATAATATGTGTATATGCGGCGCGTTTATTTATATGCGTACTCGAGCGGCTGCATCCTTTGCAACGTGTACTTTAGTGAGCATTGTGATTGACTCGGGGCCAATTGTTAGTAGTGGAGTGCGTAGATTAATCAGGGTAAGCCCAATGGGAATGGCGGGAAAGGGAAGGGACGGATGGGGGACGGGGAGGGATAGACGACAGGAAGGGGTGGGGGAGGGGAACGGATAGATGTGACTGGGTTTCACTTTGTTTCGGTGAGGTGCGTGAACATGCGGTGAGTTAGTATTAGTGACCATGGACACCGTGGGTGTGTGGAGGGAGCGCCGCCTTCCCGAAATCTGCTGATGTCACGATACCTTTTCGCGAATATATAAGAGCATGCGTGTTCTCGGCAGTCGAAATGTGTCAGTATGATCTGCTACGTTCCACTCCTTGTGTTAATCATGTCTTAAGCCCGATCTTCTGTCGTTGATATGCTCTCGTACGACATCAAATGATGAGGCTATATCTTCTGTTAGGAGGTGGGTGCAGGACCACGTTTGGTAAGAGATCATACAGGGCTCGGAGTGCAGTGTGTCAGTACAGGCTACATTGACATCAAGGGGGTATGCGACGTCGTGTCATTGGTTTGGTCCTCCACCCAATCGTTTGTATTTATTTTCGGACATTGTGTGCCGCCGGTATTGTAGATTTTAGAACTTTTCAATTAAAATCGTAGACCTTCCCTAATCGCTATCCATAAAGCTAGCGACAAAGATGCAATGCCTTCCTCTTCCACCAAGCAATGGATGGCTCTATATGTATAGTGAATACACTATTCGTCTGCACAACAGTATGTTATTTGTACCTGATTCGGCATTTCTGTATAACGCAGTGAAACGGTTTTGCCTGATTTACCTGATTCCACCCCTCACCTATATGTTTAGAGTGGATCGAAGGGTAGGAAGACTACGTCTTGTATAAACCCCCATCCTTACATATTCATCCACATGGCTTTTGAACGAGTTAATTGATTTAGCTTGTACTGCTTCTTCTGACAGGTTATTCCAGTGATTTATTACTCTAAAACTGAAAAAAATGTTTCCTTAACTCTAGTCGTGCACGCGGAGTGAGCAATTTGAGGCTATGGCCACGAGTACTGTTGTATTCCGATCTTGTAAAGAATTTTGTAGGGTCAATTACTTCGTAGCCATTCATTAGTTTGAAAGTTTCATTGAGGTCTCCTCTTCCTCTTATTCTTCTCTGTTCCGGTGTTATAAGTCCTAGTTTCTCTAGTCTTTGTTCATAGGAAAAATGACGAATTTCTGGAATCATACTCGACATCCTTATCGTGTGTTATCGGTTGTTTATATTATATGGATATTTGTGTTTACTGGGGTGACAAATACCCTGTCTCCGACTGACGCAGTGTCACGCGCGGCTGTAATACTGCTGGCAGCCATATTTAGCGACAGAGTGGGCTTGTTAGAAATCACGACAATTTTACCGTCGATTGTGATCACGAGTTGTGTGTGTATGTCTCTTGTTTCATTTTGCTCATTACATAATATAAACAATATATCCAACAGGAGAATTCGCACGCATTTCGTGTAGCTTGCAACAGACGGCAGTATTCGCGGGTGTAACCGTCGTTAACGGGGTTTAAAGAAGAATATGTATGTTTCCAGTGCGGGAATTATTGTACGTATGTTACGGCCTGTTGCGTGCTCTTGCTTGTTCTTACGTGCGGTTTATCTTGTTGTAAAATTGCCGTCAAGGGCGTATTATTGCACACGGGGTATTTAGTCAGTAGTAATGCATGCAATAATCATTGAACACGCCTGTTGTGTTAGGGTTAGTCGTTCTGTACGCGTGCGTGCGTGCGTGCGTGCGTGCGTGCGAGTGTGTGCTTCGCGGATTATTCAATCACTGGCCTATTCGTACGTGTAAACCATAATATGATGACATGCAATCAGTAATTAGTGTACGTAATACATTTTCCAGCAAGGACGTCAATATTTGTGATATAATTTTTACGGGGCTTTACGAAATATATATTATGTGTATAAAATTGCTAAAGAGAAATATTTTTTGCAATTAGTTGTTGTTTGCACGCTATACTGCTTGTGTGTGTGTGTGTGTGTGTGTGTGTGTGTGTGTGTGTGTGCGTGCGTGCGTGCGTGCGTGCGTGCGTGCGTGCGTGCGTGCGTGCGTGCGTGCATGGGTGTGTGTGTTTCACTGAAACGTTTACTAGTTAACGCGGTAACTATGTCTATCCAATACTCTATTTTGTTGACTATCTACATAGCTATGGTTTGCGCATATTTTCTTGGTTTCTTGATTTTCATCTTATTTTCAACTCGACGTCATTTTATTTATTTAAATTTGTTAAAATATATGATTCGCATTGTTCTGGGATTTTCTTATATATATATATGCTTTCTGGGTGAATACGGGCGTGGGAATGGTAACAATTACATAGTGCCATGACACGCGCGCAAATCACTATAAAGATAATCTGGAATTGGTAAATAAGTAAACATCAATAAATAAATAAAAAGCGACGTCGCCTGGCGACATCTGTCGTCGCTTTGACAGTAACTTATTATAGGGACAAGAAATCTGCTTCGTGTTGTGAAAAACAGAAATATATGTATATGTATATATACTATATAGACGTATTTATATGTAGGTGTGTTGACAACATGACTTCGATAGTTGGCTCTCGTAAAATACGGATATAATTATGCGTATATCGATTGAAATATCGAACAACGAGAAATCCACGCTCTCTCCGCGCGTATCTGCTGTGCAGATATAGCGGGAGCGAGTATTCAATATGATCAGGAGTTTATCAATAGATAGACTCCTGATATGATATCATTCCCAAATAATGATGTACACACAGAAAAGAACAAAGTTATCTATCGGTGGTACATTTATTCAGTAGGCGTGGGTGGTTGGGGGAAGGGAATGTAAAGCGGGTTAATCATTATATTATTGTGGTGCCAAAGCTGGACCAATACTTGATTGTGTATGTTATGTATGTGTCTTTAGCAATAAAAGTTGATCATCAATTATCGCTGAAGGGGTCGTTGTCGTATCAGGTACTACATATATGTACCCGAGGTACATATATGTATACACAAAGTGTACCATACTTGTACTACAGAAGTGTACCATAACCCTAACCCTAACCCTAACCCTAACCCTACATACCTCATATAAAAATATAAACATAATACTAAACAACTTAAAACTACCTCGGGTACATATATGTAGTACCTGATACGACAACGACCCTTCGTGCTCAATTATTACCTCCGCCAAGGGGTTGGCAGGAGGTTGTGTTTTCACCGGCGTGTGTTTGTTGGTTTGTGGGTTTGTGTACAGCCTAACTGAAAAAGTTATGGACGGATTTTCATAAAATTTTCAGGATAGGTCAGAAATGGGCTAACTTAGAATTGATTAGATTTTGGTGGTGATCCGGATCCAATTAATTCATTCATTCATTCATACAATTTTTAGGATAGGTCAGAAATGGGTTTAACTTAGAATTGATTACATTTTGCTGGTGATCCGGATCCAATTAATTATTTAATTAATTAATAAAAAATTTCACAGTGAGAGAATTGAGCTGCCTTGGCGGAGGTCTGCGCTCTCCGAGTGCTCTAGTTATATATGCTTTCGTTATAGCAGCTTTCGATATAGCAGCTAGCTTTCGATATAGCATATCAGGTTTCGTGTTCAATCTATTAAAAAATTGGAATTCAAAATTTCACGGTGTATTTCTGAAAGGTATATAGCATGCAACTAATAACGTCTATATATGTTACTTTCAATGTGTCATTCAGTAACATTATAACAAGAGCTAACAATGCATTATGTGTTATTAGGTCTTGATCATAATCATATCTACAAGAATGTACGGCTTTTCTCTAAGCGAAATTATCTCTGTAGCTATAGTTCATTGGCACCCACACAATAAATTTTTATCTGTTGGCAATTAAGTAGAAACTAATAAACTGTTGTTCGTTTCATTTTGATTTATCGCTGAAATCTGCTACATTCTCTCGAATTTTATATTGCCGCTCCTTTTAAGACACCATGACAGGTTTTAAGCCCGTATGAAACGTAAATTTTTCATTACAAATCATAAAATTACAATATAATATTTCCATCATAATTCACTTTTTTAATTACATATTATTTTTATGTATCAATGCAGTAAAAGTTCTGGCAGCGGTGGGATTCGAACCCACGCCTCCGGAGAGACTGGTGCCTAAAACCAGCGCCTTAGACCACTCGGCCACGCTACCAATCACTAAAGAAATTGGTCGCGCGACTGGCCTCAACTTATCATCCTGTTTTTATGAAATTTGGAACAACACGTATTGCGTTAAAGTTTTGCTTTTGATTCGCATGCTCCATATAATAATGGAAACAATAATGCGTGCATTTATTTCGTATTATATAGTAAATCGGCAAAATATGAGAAGACAAGTTTACAAAACGACCACAGCACCACCACCGCGAGCAGTATAAATATGGCAGCGCCCATGGCGTGTAATTGTTGTAAACCTCAGGCACAACAACGACCAATATGACACATTTATTTTCATACGAAACGTTTGTCCATGCGGTGGCAGGGGCTACGGTAAGTTGAAATAAAAGTAGGTGTGTTATACTGGTAATTGGTCGCTAAATTGAGATTGTCTGGGTGACACTACTGACGCTGAAGAGGTAGCTCTAGAACTAAACCGACCAGGCTCTCCGACTAGTTACACGGCGGAGGTCGCCACGTAGTGTTAAGCGAGATGGGAACTTGTGGCTACTCTAGAACTATAGCCTATGCTATAGCATAGGCCCTCCGCTCCGCCGCAGGGCTATACTATAGCTTATAGGGTCTATGTCACCCAGGGTACTGCCGGAACGTACCCTGGGTACGGTCCGGTATACCGGAACGTACCCTAGTCACAATTTGATATGGTTAGGATTAGAGTTAGGGTTAGGCCGGATAGGGCCCAGGGGCCCCGGTTAGGGTTAGGGTTCGGGTTAGGGAGTAGGCGTAGACAACTCCCTATAGACTCGTTAGTGGAGTAGGCGAGATACGGTCCGGCATATTAGATAGTACCAGGGTACGTTTCGGTATACCGGACCGTACCCAGGGTACGTTCCGGCAGTACCCCGTGGGACATAGACCCTCTCAGCTATACTATAGTATAGAACATACTTAGATACTATGGCAATTTTCAGGTAGTAAGCAAAGACAACTTTTTGCGCTTAATAACTTCTTTGGTACGCCAAATAAAGCACATTCTCTGTCGCACAAATTAAATGTCGTAAGTTACTGCAAACACTAAAATTAAACTGCAAACTAAACATTAAAACATGTGACAGGTACCCGTTGGGGGCGCAAATCCACTTTTAATAGGCACCTTAGGTATCACGAAGTGATGCACAGATTTCTGTGTATCATCAACTGATGCACAGACGTTCCGTATATCAAGGAATGATGCAAAAACCCTAACCCTAACCCTAAGTCATAAAGTATAACCTTTAGGGTTAGGGTTAGGGTTAGGGTTAGGGTTTTTGCATCATTCCTTGATATACGGAAAGTCTGTGCATAAGTTGATGATACACAGAAATCTGTGCATCACTTCGTGATACCTAAGGTGCCTAAAGTGGATTTGCACCCCAGTTGGGTTGGAGTATTAGGCATTTTCTATATTATGTACGCGTCTATGTAGCGAAAAATATGGTACGTATTTCAGTATTTATAAATTATATATTAGAGTAGGTATATTATAGACATGACAGGTGCCAGTTCAGCAGTTGGGTTGGAGTATTAGGCATCCTTTATATTATTATGTGTCTATGTAGGGAAATATGGTACGAATGGCTCAGCAACTTATATCGTGTCTCACTTTTACGTTTCTTCAGGGCAGTGGTATTGCCATGACCGTGTTCTACCCTCTAGATACCGTGAAGATAAGACTGCAGGTGGACGATGGAAGAATACCAAGAAGCATACCAGTACTGGACGCTATTGACATTGCAAGAGAAGAGGGAGTGTAAGCACGATCGATTAGTTCAGTTCTACTTTCAGACCCCAATACAAGAATCATTATTATCATCTCACTCTCCATGCTCGCTTAATCACCTTAACTATGACCCCCTAACCGCATTCCTATATTCCTAACCCAGCCCTATAATCCTATAACTTAAGCACAAGCCTGTCATTAAAAAATCCGAGGTCACGAGGTAGAGTTGAACAAGCTCAATCACCTTTAATGAGCTCATCTCGGTATTAGTTAAAAATGCTAGGTCGCTGCCATATTCGTGCAGTCACAAACAATTCTTTAGAAAAGTAATCGGATGGGATATACATATAAGAAGCAGTATCGCTAATCATGTTAATGCGTGTGAACTCGTGTTTGTGTTAAAACAATGTCACAGGTGTCGATGCACATTGTTTTGTCAAGTAAAACAATGACTAGCGTTATTGGGTGCTTGCAACTGGAGAACACTCTCAAGTCAGTTAATTTGTTTCAGGCTGGCACTGTATAGAGGACTTCACTCTGTCATCACCAGTCTGTTCACTTCCAACTTTGTATACTTCTACACATTCCATGGACTGAGAAGGGTCCTTATACCGGCTGGTGAGAGAAGTGCAGTCAAAGACCTGCTAATAGGAACCATTGCAGGTATGTTACATCATCCTCTTAATATGCATGCATGTCTGCATCTACCTCTTTTGATCACTTGATTGATCACGACTAACCAACAATCTAGCTGTATAGTTTAGGATCAAGAGGTCTCACTCACTATAGTTCCGCCTAAAATATGCCAAATCGATCTCTTTGCCTACACGAAAGGTGGGTATGTAGCGTCATTTGTAGGGGACTTGTGTTTTAGTTTGTTATAATGCATAATAGCAAGTAACGTGCAAATGTCTTCAATGCATATTCACTTTCGTGTTTTCATTGCTAAATATGGTTATATAGTGAGGTTACTGCCATAGTTATGTACTAGTCTGTGCATCTGTTGTTGACAGGTATTGTGAATGTGGTGATAACCACACCACTGTGGACAGTCAACACTAGACTACAGTTGCAGGGAACCAAGCTTAAAGGTGGTGAACACAGAAATGTTTCACACTACAGTGGAATCGTAGGTGCGCCCTGCATGCTGCACGTAATTTTACCATATCAAGGATGCTGTATCAGCAATGTTGATGTCACTATATCTATTTACAGAAGGCAGGCTGAATTACATAATACTTCTGGCATTGGCACATTTTATATATGGCTGTTGTTTCATTGAGGTATATATAATCAGAACACAGACCCCTAAATAATCTAATACGGTGGTGTTAAAGTGGGGACGAGGTTTGAATTCTTCGTACAAAGATCAACTAACGTTTGGTGTTTTTGTTTAACTGAAAATACTGGTTTTAGAACTGTGCACGATAGCAAAGATCAACTAACGTTTGGTGTTTTTGTTTAACTGAAAATACTGGTTTTAGAACTATTCACGATAGCAGTAGAGATGTGATTGGTTCCTTTGCTCACCTATCTTTCTCCCTCTGCTATAGATGGCTTAGTAAAGATCGCCCGAGAAGAAGGCCTTGCAGAATTGTGGCGCTCTTGCCCTGCCTCTCTCCTTCTCGTCTGTAACCCTGCCATTCACTTCACGCTTTATGAAGCTTTGAAGCGACGACTCCACCGGCGACTAGGAGTGAAGGTAATGACGCACATGCATATAATTTTCGAATGTTTCACCACACCTAGCACTTGCGTAGAGAAATGCAAGCATGTGCTGATGTGAGCTTGTTATTTCTCCTTCGTCATTTATTTCGATCGATGCTTATTGTTTTATGAGCCACTCTTGTCAGCGTGATTTTTACACCTTACAGCATTCCTATGATACTCTTATGCTTTGTAACTATATATACAGTTTTCATAGGTAATATTTTCCACTGATAGGAATTGAGTGCACTGACATACTTCTTGCTTGGAGGCCTTGCAAAGTGTATAGCAACCACAGCGACCTACCCTATGCAGTTTATACAGTCCAAGCTGCGGGTAATTGTTTGAATGATTCATTCATAGTGGATAATATCAGGTTACTTGTATTGGTGGCTGAATTGATGAGTGGATTACACTTATAATTCTCATTTTATACAATTTGATTTATAATTGAGTTTTGGAGTTAGTTTTACAAATGAATTATATATTGGGAGGAATTGTAAATATTTTATATGCTAATTCACCTTGAAGTAGGTTGTGGATTGTTTGTTTGATAGGTTGGTTGATTGGTTGGTTGGTTGGTTGGATGGATGGATGGATGGTTGTTAATTGATTGAATTTATTACTTTTATAACCATCAATTTAAAAACAAAAGCTGGATGTGTGTGACTATGTGATGTGACATTGTAATGTGGAGCCTTATCGAAATGCTCACGTGAACATTCTGTTGTGCAGGCCGGCCAACTAAACACGAACAACTCTAAGCATTCCCTACTGATGTCTGTGCTGGAGCTCGTTCGGTGAGTGGTGCTTGTAACGTTATACTTACTAAGTTGATGAACTTGGGATGTCCATAGACAGAACACATACTGCCTGGGTGCTTTTTACATACATAGAACAACCAGTATATTGTTAACGAATTCCCAAGCATTGTGTTGCAGTTGGGAACCACGTGCACACATCCAGATATGAATACTTGTCTAAATAAATTCAGTTGCAACGTAACACCAGAATGTATGATGGTTGTGTAATCGTTATCCATGCTGCTATTATTTTGAATATTAAGTAGTGGCATGATTTCAAACTTAACCGTCATCTTCTTCTGATTCAGATTGTCCCCAATTGAAATATACATGTAGCACTTGAAGAATGGTTATTAGTATGTAAGAAAATTGACCAACAGTCGTATACAACAGAAAAACCAATGCAATACGCACGTCACAGCGTTTATGATACGTAGTGGGTGTGTCTGTGAATCCACTGTTATCTGAATGTTTCTCTCATTCTTTATTCGAAGGAGTAAGGGCATGGTGGGAATGTACAAGGGTCTGGAGGCCAAGCTCTTTCAAACAGTTCTCACGTCTGCGCTGATGTTCCTCTGCTACGAGGAAATCATTTCATTTGTCTTCGCTCTTCTGAGAGTGAAAGGAGCCGCAGCTGTGAAGTAGTGACGACGGTCGAATGTCGTCTGCTAAGCGGCAGCCATATGCATTTTGACGAGGTTGTATAGAGCTCTGAAGTGATGACGTCACGGTGGCATCACAACGAACCTACTGGCTCTACACAATCATATGCTCTGGTAACATTAACTGCGTGTCGTGTTTTGTACCCGATTGTAACCATCATTCTGAG